GCTGGCAGATGACTTGCCCGAGCACGTAGAGACTGAAACAATGGTTGCGTTCAACGAAGACTTCAGAGATATTGCGATGCAGCGCTGCAAGTTGCTGCAGCAACTGACCCAGCGCGTGGCAGCCACTCCGATGGCAAACCGAGGTGGTGGATGAGTGCGACTGAGAGAACCAGCATTGTGTGACCTGCAAGGTGCAACAATTCAGCTTTTGAGGGCCCAGTCAAATTACTGCCGCCCAGGTGCTGTCTAAGACAGCCTTTCATGGTATCACTCATCACTGTTGCAAGGAAGGCACAGCCGGATCTTGGGTCAGAGCAATGATTCCCCGATGGCAGTGCTTGTCACCCGTGGAATCCACTGCCTAGACATGAAGAACGCTCCGACGTGCTTGTGATCTATCAGCATGAGGATCAAGCGGAGACTTATTTTCATTTTTGGAGATTTTCACGATAGCCTATGACCCAAGAATCACAGTAGGACCATTTCGGGCTCCAAGACAAAGAAGGGTCCCAACATTAGCTTCCCTTGCCTTGGGCCGAGAAATTCAATCTCCCACCTTAAACCTTAAACCATGTGGGACGTTCTCAAACGGATCCCTTTTGAATCTTGACACTGGCACCCCCACAATCCCTTTGTAATGCCCATCTACCCTCAGGGTTTCCTTATAGGGTTAATCATGCTGACAAACCCCCTACGAAAACGATGGTTATTATTCTTATTACTACAATTACTACTATATTACGACTATTGCTACTGAGACCCCCTTGTATCCACGACACGTCAGGTTTGGGTTTGCGTATGCGCGGCCACGAGGAGCGATGTCGCCGGCGCAGTGCTGGGCCCGTGCAGGCAACGCCTCGCAATTTGGGGGTTTCGCAGCAGTCTCTTATACAACCTCCAAGAGGAGCGCCTCTGTTCTCTACAACGAAGAAGCCCCAACAGTACTACTGCTGCTGCTGCTGTACCGGCCCCGCTTCCTCTCGCGGCTGATGCTGCTGGCGCTGGTGGCGCTGATTGTGGTGGTGATGATGGTGGTGGTGATGGTGGTGGTGGTGGTGGTGATGGTGATGGTGGTGGTGGTGGTGGTGGTGGTGGTGTTGCTGCTGCTGATTGCAGGCATTCATGGGATCATGACGGCAGGTCGCACGGTCCGAGGAGTTCTTCTCCTGCCAGCCGCGAAATTCAGATCCGCCAGAGTGCCCAGCCAAGATCATCCGGTTCTGCAGCGAGAAGGGCGCGCTCAAAAGAATTGTGCCCGTATATTCATTAAAGGATGGAAGCACAGAAGAAGTAGAAGTGACGAGCCTTTTTCCGTGCGCTTGTGTGATATTTGAAGGCAGGCTAAGATATCAAGATATCCTTCAACGCGCAACCCAGTCGATCCCTGCCCGGAACATCTGTGAAATTTAGTCCCTAGTATCTTGAGGGTATGTTCCCATAATTCAAATGAATTTTGGCTTTCTGCGCAACCCTTTACTCTCCTGCGAAGGTCTCGGCCGGCTGCCCAGACTGAGGCCTGGAATTGGGTAATCGGGGGGGGTGGTCCAGAAATCCGAGTTTCCCGTATGTACACTACAAAATACCGTAATCCTCATTACAGGGACTCCCAAAAAAAGACACCATGTTCAGGAAAATCTGTGTTTTCTTGGAGGAGTGCCAGGTATGGACTTGGCGCAGGTTGAGGGTGTAATATTTGCTGAGATTTTGGTCCATTCTTGAGCCTGTAAGGCTTGTATAGCAAGGTTACAATCGGTAGTTGAAGACTGTAGGTTCATGTGAGGCTGGTTATCCGCAGCTTCAGATGTGTCTGTACATGTTCTGAAGCATCCGTAGATCAGCTTTTTGACAATGTTGTAACAAACAATAAGGATCATCATCTCCTTGCAATGGAGAATCACATGGAAAAGAAAGCGGATAATGAAAGGGAAGCTCAATTCAAAAAAAGGGTCATACAGGAAGCATCTGCCATGCTGGCATTGTTATGCAAAATCCAGATGCCCATCTGCCAGAGTGGGGCGTTGACTGCTGTGCGGCGCGAGTAGATGGTTTGCAAGGATGTGGGCACACAAACCAGATGGGTGGCTGTCAAATTATAGACCCTTTCTGGGTCTTGATCATACTTCTGCACCTAAAATTTAGGGTGCCCACAAATCGGCCACAATTTGCCGTGTCTGGGCACGTATGCAGCAGTGCTGCGGGTTGTTGTGATTCCGAATCTTCATCGGGAGGCATGGCACGACGAAATGGCAATAATTTGGGGGCCACAAAAATGAGCATTGCGGTTCTTATGCTTGAGGTTTTTCCAAGTCGGAATAAAAAAAGGAGGAGAAGAGCAGCCCGGATTGGCTGAGGCCAGAAGTGGACCTTCCTGAAGGAACCAGAAGTCAAAACCTGTTAAATCCCGGCTCCCAAAATCAAGACCTTGGATCCTGTACCAAATTGCTGTCACTGCAGCAGCCCGGTTGCCACATGGATCATCACGGATCGTTTTGTTCAAATGTCGCAACCTCCCCCAATTAAGGGGGATGCACCATCACTATTACTGTTGCTGGCTTCTCAGCACCACAACATTCCGCATGCCATGAGGGCTAGCCTCATTCCTGCTGCGCTAGCCTCCTCCCTTCTGCTGCCGTTCTGCTGCTTCTCAGTTTATTGTGAGTCTTGTCATTACTCTTGCAAGTATTGTCATTGATACGGATGATGCGGGAAGCTCCACGTAGCATGAGGCTACGCTAGCTGCTGCAGAGCTGCCTGAGGAGGCCATTGTAACCCAAACGTGCTCAGAACTTCTTAAAGGTGATGGGCATAAAAACCTAATGAACATGTGCAGGAAGATGAAGCTATAGTTTATGGTTCATAATATATCATGATATATGATACTATAGTATAAATATACTATGCTATAGTATATTATACGGTTCTCATCTAGGGCGCCGGATGTGTGAGTCGGCGCCTGGGTCCCTTCTGAACCGAGATGATCCTTCTAATTAAGCCTCTCTCTGTAGGGGACCTGTGTAAGGGAGAAATGATCATCATGGGTCTTATTGTAAAAGGGTATATATTGGGGTCATAGTAGGGATGATGGAAAATGGAAATTGCTATATAAGGTATATATTAGTGTTATATTGGGAGAATGGAAAAGAGAATGGAAACTACTAAATGGGGGGGTTGTAGAACAGGGTCTGTTCGCTTGGACTGTTTTGGAAGTGTCTGTTCTGGCTTTGCTGTAGGGCACTGTAGGGTTCAAGGTGTTGCAGTTCTCAATCATGAGCAGGAGCCAACCTGAAATTGAAAGGCAAATTGAGGGAAAGTACGGTTCGCTATCGCTGGAGGCTTTATTTGAAAGCGTGTGGTGCTCTGCGCAGTTCAGACATGCATGCATGCGGCAGGCTCCGGGCGCATTGCGCAGTGAATTCAGGGATAATTAGCCTGCAACTTAGACCAAGCGCTCATGGCAGCAGCAGAGTTCGTGGACCACAACAAGTGGGGCGACATCGTGGGCGTCAAGGAGTCCAAGTTGGCTAGGGCCATCCAGGCGGGTAACACGCAGCTGCTGAGCCAAAAGATCAGGGAGAACCACCTCTTCCAGCTTTGCATCGCCTTCGCGCATTTCAGCACGGCATTCGCTCTCGTTGCGTCCGGGGTCCCCGGCCGCAGGGTGGATGTTGAAAACTTGCGGCGGTTTGAGGCGTCCTCGTGTCTTTACTTGGATGTCCTGATGCCCCTGATTTACTGAGATGTTCTCATTCTGAAAGATCCGCTTAGCCAAAGCCTCTGCGCCCCTCAAACGCAAGCTTGACAAAAGTTCATAGAAGACGGAACTCATGTGGGCCCCAGCTACATCCGTTTGGGTGCTTAGACCCTCAAACCGCTATAAAGCCCTCTATATGCTTGTACCGGCCTTTTTCTCCCTATCTTGGAGTTGCTCAAAATAGTCCCTGCATAATCCCAAATAGGTAATCCCTCTTTTCCCCTTGGGGTTCCCAGCAACCCCCCTGTGTTTTCGGAAATTCCCACATCTCAACGCACCAACCTCTGCGTACCTGGGAAAGGTCACCGAAGCCAGGGCCCAGAAGACAACGGAGACGCCGACCTTCCAGGCAGATGAAGGGCTGCACCACCTGAGGCTTCGCCATAAGCTCCCCCTACATCAAGGCTGAAGTGCTTCGGGTTTTTTGGACCCTAGGATTCCAAATTGGGTTCAGAGTGTAGAGGCTTAGCCGATGAGGCTCTGGGGTGAGGATTTCAAGATGTTTGCGAGTCTAGACTTGTACAGCTTCGCTCTGTCCATCAATCTCCAAAGCTCGAAAGCCCAAGTCTCTGAATCCTCACGCCCCACACATCCAGCCGTAAACGTCAATATCTTCAGACTGTTTGTTGATGGTCATGACCTGCACAAGCATTTGCACTCTGTACCAAAAGGCTGAGAACAATGATCACCTTGCGCAGCGAGGGTCACCCTCATTCGTCCCCGTCAATGCCTGCAAGGAAAATCTCGAACGCTCTGTACGCTCCTTGAGGGCGGATGGATTGCTGCGATTCCATACAAAATCGTCGAGAGGATGCTCAGACATCTCAGACCACCTCAAGACCAACTTCTGAACCCAAAGCCCCCAAGCCGAACAAGCCACCTGTCACTTTTTGAAGCCTCTACTTCTTGGTCCTACCCGTCCTACCCTTGGCAGGCTCCAGAAGTCCCTGTGGAGGATGATGAGGCTGCACAGCAGCAAAAAATAGGGCGAGCAATCATGTTAGGCTGTGAGTCCATCTCCTCGCACTCCGCCAAGAATCATAGTACTAGTAGTCGGTACGTATAGCAGTAGTACAAGTATAGTCATAGTAATGATAGTAACAAAAATACAAAAAAAGTATAAGTAGAGACTGCATCATGTTTCTGCCGGGATTTGCAAAACGGGCCTCACACTCCGGACCTTGTGGTGTCTGATGGGGGTCACATTCGGGGACATGCAAACTCCGTGTATGATCTCAGCAACAAAAACCACCATGAGGATCCAGAAAGTAGAACCCCCAATTTGGTACGCTATGCTACTATTGGGTGATTTGTAGGATCCTTTAAGCAGGAACTACTTTGAAAATAGATCCTTGCAGGGGCCTGTGAAGGGCCCGTTCAAGACAAGGAGGTTATTTCTGGAGTAGAGATCAGAGTTTTGCCTCGGCTCTTATAGGGTTTAGGCTTTAGGGTTTAGGGTGTTTAGGTGCTTAAGGGGCAGATATTAATAACATAGGGACCAGGATAGGGGTATTAATATCGGAGTTATGTAGTGATGATTTTAAAGATCCACTGCCCCACTCCCTGAAGCACACGTAACAGGTTCATTACACCCTCACGATAAGCAGTTGCAACACTCAAAGCCGTTAACGCCTCCACTCACCAGATCCAAGCATTTCAGGCCAACATATGTACCACAGTCTAAACTCCTTGAAGGGGGGATATATAGGGCGCTATATAGGGGATTACATAGGGGAGTGTTATAGGGGTTTCTAAGGGGGATACTGGGAGTTTAGACAGCAGCTGACATTCTCATATTGTCGCCCCTATGCAAGCCCCCTTGAATTCCATCAAAAGTCCCGCAAGATTTCGCTGCCAAGGGCTATCAACCATCAGAAGTTTCTCATTATGCAAAGGCCTGCGCTGCTTGCGGGGAGAGCGGGGGCTCGTTTTTTGATGCATTCCGTGGGAGCTGTGGGGCTGAACCTTGTCATGGGTCTTGTTTCCAGGAACTCTGTGCAATCTCACAACAGACTTATAGGCCGTACTAGGGTCTCTGACGTTGAGGTTTCAGGACTCGTGGTCGTAGGGTTGCATCAAGGGGGATGAGCTCCTGTTTGAGGGCATCGATACCTTGCTTTCTTCTGGGATGCTTTTTTTGGCAGTCTCTTTTGCACGGCATGGGAGAAAGGCTTGCAGAAACCGTTAAGGGGCCTCAACGCCACAATCGCAATAGCATCCCGCTAGGTTGGGCTTTGATATTAATAGATTTGTAGAAGCCTGGAAATAGGGAGCTGTACCACACGAACCATGCTGATCCATGCTGGACAGCGCCAAACCGATCATGATTCATCAGCCCCATTGTGGCTCGATTTCAAGTTTTCTGTGCAAGTTGATATCAACCCTTGACCCTAAGTTGGACGCAGACGTAAGGGTTCTTCACCTGCTTGACCAGAGATAGCAGCAGCATACTGTAGAAGCCTCAGCAATCAAAGGAAAAGTATGCCTTTGACAACGTTATACAGTCATGGTGTAGCATACCCAGCTACTGTAAGGCCCCCAATCTTTATAGGCAAGCCTGCCTGCCTAGTGACGAACCCGATGTCCCCCCGGCATGGGGAAATATGGGGAAGATAAAGGGACATAAAGGGATAGAGGGCCTATTGCGATTTGATGTGCTCCATGACTTTCTAATTGCTTCTTAGTGGGGAATAAGGGAATACGTTCTATAGGGAGTATTTTCCTTTATTCTCTACCAAGAACCAGTAAGTTTACGTCAAGGTTCGGGAATGTTCTTAGTCTCGCGAATCACCCTCATAGAGGTAGTAGAGCTACTAGCGGGTGTCTATTTGGCTTTGAAGGCCAAATTGGGGGCCCATGGTTCCAACCTTTGAGATTTCAGATGCCCCGCAAAAAGCAATTCTATAGTCGAAACTGTAGCTTATATATATATATCTTATACATATACATGTATATACTCATATATGCTAGCCTTGTCATCCTCGTACAAGCCCATGTTTCTGGAAACATTAGCAGCCAAATCTGCCAGAGCAGGCCGAGCCCATGTCCCCTGCCTCTCAGGCGGGAAAGTGGCCAGTCGCATGGTGCAATTATGATTTCAGGAAGACCCCCAACATAGCTTGCTTACGGCTTATTTCATAGGGTCCCAGGAGGGGCCCCCCACATACTGTAGCTTATTTTAAGCTTATTCGAGGCTATTTGAGGCTTAATTACTTGGGGTGTAACAACTTGAATCTCTCCTTAAGCCGCTGAGGGTTCCTTGTAAAACATGGGATGCCTTCCTGGGTTTGCCTCTGAAGACACGGGGCCTTGCCCTTATCTATGACTTCTTCCTACCCTAAACCTGATCCTTACTGCCATTCCTAGTTATCTTCATATAACCCTGTACATCCCCCGCAGCTCCCTTAAGGCCCCGATAAGTCCTAAGTCTCCCCCCCTGTCACCAATGCATGCTGCATTTCGATAAGTGGTCTGGAGGGGCTTTGCTGCCAGGCGCTTGCCGTGGAAGAGCACGAGGAGACAACCGAGCTGGCTGCCACAGAGGAGAACTCAGCGGCGTGTTGGCAAAGAAGTGGTAATATTGGGTTATATTGGGGTTATATTGAGAAATATTGGGATTATATTGGGTTATGTCCTCCCCCAAAGCATGGAACCCGGCGGCGTCCTTTTGAATGGCTTTGTGGCGTTGCATGCTAGTTTGGGGGAGGGTATCATTCGTTGAAATGCGGAAGCTTTCTTTGGCGGTCCCTCTGCACAAAGCCTCGGAGGGCTCACACTTGGGAAGCCACCATCATGACTGTATGCGAAGTGTGGGTGATTTCCGAATTTCAGGGTTTAGGGTTTAGGGTTTAGGGTTTAGGGGAGAGACTAATGAGACGTCTTTCTCCATTTTGTCACATGCAGCATGCGCTACAGCGATGCCACTTGCAAATCAAAGCAAATCTGCATACCATATGATCTACTGTCTAAACTCCTAGTATCCCCCTTAATAACCCCTATAGTAGTCCCTCATATAATCCCTATATAACCCCCTTTTAAGGAGTTTAGACTATGGCTCATATGATCGCTACTCAGCCCCAGAGAGTGGATACGTAGGCAACCCCAACACCCAGACCTGAAATCCCCGAAACCTTCAGGCTCAGACCCTAGACACCAACAATCCCCAGACCTTCCGAATCCCGACGTACTGTACACGCCTGAGAAATTACCTGCAGTTTCCCTTTACAATCCTCATAGGACTACAGTATAGTATAGCGCGCTCCCTGACCCTCTTCTACATCAAGAGAATCACATCTTCTCTTCAAGTTTGATATCGCTGAGGCGAAGCCTTGTAAACTAGAGGAGGCCGTGGAGGAGGCATTGCCGAAGGCAGATGCGCAAGACCTGCGCAGCACGTAACGAAGGGCCCAACCCTGGGGCTCTAACTGTATAAACGATATCTACATCTACATTGGGCCCTAAAGTCTATAGATAATGTAGACATGCAGCCTTGCTGTAGGGTAATTCTTGGGCCCGAAAGTCTATAAATAGTACCTACATGGAGCCTTACTGTAGGATATTTGTACCCAAGACCCCAAAGCCCTAAATAGTAGTTTCCATTTTATTTTCCAATAGCCCAATATGACCCCAAGGGTAATTGTACCCTAAACCCTAGGGCCCCACCACTATTTGGATTTTGGGGCATACTCTCAGTGCTGCAATGCTTGCTATCTTGTGATTCGCTGTGATTCCGTGCTTTGTTCAGCAGCTTTAAGCTTAGGTTTTGGGTTTAGGGTTTAGGGGTACAAGTACCATCCTTGTGATGCAAGTTTTTTGTCCATACTTGTGCTTCCCCAGTGGCCCCCGGTATCTTGAGAAGACAATCCCCTGGCAGAGGTTGCGCCTGTGGCCCATCCAGCTGAAAGCAGCTCTGATGCTCAGGCCGTCTAGCGGTTCATGGTGCTTTGATCCAGCCCCCTTCGCAAAATTAGGGGGTAGTTTCCCAAAAGAAGGCATCCCTTTGCGAGATCTACATGTAAGGAATCTAAAAGAAGGCATTCCCCTTCCAGGTCCATGCGCTAGGAATTGGATATTTTGGGTCTACCTTAGGACATTCCACCTTACAACAGTTACCACATTGGGTAACAGGAGTTATAATATCCCCTCAAAAAGGCCCCCAAAAAAGGACAGTTACTGTAAGGGGAATAGCCTGCTTTTGCAGAGTGGTGCGTCATACGCCGGAGCCGCCTTACAATTCCATCCCTGAACCGACCGTGGCCTGGTAGGGCCAAGCGATTTTGTAGATGAGCTGTAGTCTAAACTCCTTAAAGCGGGGTATATAGGGGATTTTTTGGGGTCCATTCTAGGGGTTGTAAGGGGGATACGAGGAGTTTAGAGTGTAGCTCATATGCAAGTACAGCCAGCTTATAATTCCCACGCCCTATAACTGCATCGGGGAAGTGTCCGAACATTCATATAGGTTCGAGTGCAGTATAAGAGGTAGTTTGCACAAGTAGGGGGACCTCAACATCATAGGACCCTTAAAAAGGATCAAAAAGGTACCCCAATTTTGGGAAGCCCTAATCCGTATAAACCACCATCTACTATCACTTTCCTTTATCAGTACGCATTGTCTTTTTCATTTGGCTCTCCATGCTTGGGCCCCCCTAAACCCTAATCCGTAAACCTAAGCCCTGATCCCTAAACCCTAAACCCCATATACCCTTATCATGGAGTAATAAACAAGACATTGCGCGACCACGAAGGCTGAGGCCGTGGCGGAGGGCCAGACTGAGACTGAGGCCTTGGTCGAGGCAAGAAACCAAATCCCACCTCGAGGCTTTAAATGGTGACTACGGGGTCAAGGGGTTTAGGGGTTTAGGGTTCAGGGTTTGGGGCTTACTTGGGGTCTAATAATTAGGGTTTCGGGTTTAGGTACTGGGGCTTATGGTTTAGGGTTTAGGAATATATGTTACCCTCCCCAAATAGAGAACCAAACGGAAAATAACAAGACAAATAAATGGAAATCGGAAATCAGGATTATATCAGTGTTTGTATGTTGGGGTCTATTGGGGCATCCCTACTCAAGGAAATTGCCAAATCCAGCCAAATCCAGAAGCTGAACATCTGGAAACTATTGCTATAGTTCATATGATAAGAACTATAGTGTTATTATTGCTAGGTTGCTATGATTCCTGTTCTTTTTGGGAACTCCTGCGTGGCTTGAGAGCGCTTGTGCCTGCCTGCAGCAAGACACCTCCAAATGCCGACTCTAATCCCTAAACCGATTCACAGGAAGCTGCAGCAGAAAAGGACCAGCCAAAGGAGGACAATAGCGAGGAGGCGCACAGGGTTGGAGTCTTAGTATAGCAAGGATGGAAACTGTCTGTTAAGGGTTTATAGGGGTTTGGGATTTAGGTGAGCCCAGACGGTGATTCCAGTAGACAGCAGAACCGTGGAGAATCGAATAAAAAAGACACTGGGAACGGAACTTGGGATTGATATACTGGGTTGCTGTTAAGGAACTTAAATTAAGTTACCATAATATTTCCCCAGTTTCCATTTCATTTTCCATTTTCTTTTCCATTTGATTCTCCATTACTAAGGGGGATACTAGGAGTTTAGACTATAGCTCATGTGTAAGCAAAATTTGGGGCCTAAGTGAATATTCTACGGGAACCTGGGACCCTTTTGGGGGCACTTGATACTTTCCTGTTGCTTTT